CGTCATGGTTAAGTTTGTGCACTCTGCTTCGGTGGTCTGGGATTTGCAGGTTCGGATCCTGGGCATGCACTGCTCATCAAGCCATGCTGTGGTGGCATCCCACATATAAAATAGAGGAAGATGGGCACAGATGTTAGCTCATGGCCAATCTCCCTCACCAAAAAAAAAAAAAAAAAAAAAAAAAAAAAAAAAAGAATATTATAAAATGCTTAATTAAAACAGGAAAAGGCAGAAAAAGAAGAAAGAAAAGAGAAGTAAATGAAAAAATGAAACAAATAAAATACCATTACACGGATTGTAGATTTTAGTTCAACTACATCAATAATCACTTGAAATATGAATGGTATAAATACATTAGTTAAAAAACAGATTTTGTCAGATTGGATAAAAATATAAGACACAAAGTGTATACTGTCTCCAAGAAAGCCACTTTAAATATTAGGACTCAGACAGCTACACCATGCTAAAAATAATCCGTAGAGAGCTGGATTACCTATATTAATTTCAGACAAAGCAGACTACAGAACAAGGGATATCATTAGGGATAAAGAGTGACATTACACAATAATAAAGGGACAGTTCTCCAAGGAGGCATAATGATCTTAAATGTCTATGCACCTAACAAGAGAGTATCAAACTACATCAGACAAAGGTGATAGAACTAAAAGAAGAAATAGATGAATCCACTATTATGGGTGAGACTTCAACATTCTTCTGTCAGTAATTGATAGATCAGGAACACAGAAAGTCTTTAAGAACCTCAGGAACTCAACAGCACCATCAATCAACTGGATGTAGTTGATGGCTACAGACCACTCCAACCGACAACAGCAGAATACGTATTTATCTCAAGCTCACATGGAACATCCACCAAGGTGGACCCCATTCTGGACCATAAAAAGTGCCTTAACATATTTAAGGGAATAGATAAAATACAAAGTACGTTTTCAGACCACAATGAAATTAAACTAGAAATAAATGACAGAAAAATGGCTGAAAAATTTCCAAATATTTGCTAATTAAACAACACACTTTTAAAACCCATGAATCAAAGAAGTCTCAAGAAAATTAAAATAGATTTTTTGTGATATCTTACTGGTTTTGGCATTGGATAGTAGTATAGTGCTGGCCTCATAAATGAGTTGGGAAATGTTTCTGTTTCTATTTTTGGGGAGAGATTTCAGGAAAATTTAACTTATCGAAATTTGTGGGATACAGTTAAAGCAGTTGGTGGAGGGAAATCTATAGCATGAAAATGCATACACTAGAAAAGAAAAAGGATCTAAAACCAGCACCCTAAATTTCCCCCTTAGAAAACCAGAGTGACAGGAGCAATTTACAGGTAAAGCAAGCGGGAGAAAGAAAATCATAACAATTAGAGCAGAAATCAACAAAATGGTAAACAATAGATGAAATCAACAAAACCAAAAACTGGTGCTTTGAAAACATCAGTAAAATTGACAAACCTCTAGCCAAGCCTACCAAGAAAAGAGAGAGAAGACACAAATTGCCAGTATCAGGAATGAGAAAGTATAAAGCAACAATAATCAAACAGTGTGACATTGGTGAGGAATTGACACATTGATCAGTGGAAGAGAATAGAAAGCTTACAAACAATCTGACACAAATGTAGCGAACTGATCTTTGACAAAGGAGCAAAGGCAATTCAATGGAGAAGAGACAACCTTTTCAACAAATGGTGCTGGAACAACTGGTCATCCGCATGCAAAAAAAACCCACAAAAAAACAAAAAACAAAGAAAGAATCTGGACACAGACCTCATACCTCACACAAAAATGAACTCAAAGTAGATCAAAGATATAAATGTAAAGTAAAAAATCATGAAACTTCTAGAAGAAAACGTAAGAAAATCTGTGTGACTTTAGATTTGGTGATGATTTTATAGATACAATACCATTAGCACAATCCATGGAAGAAAAAATTAATAATTGGGCTTCTTTAAAAATTGAAAACTTTCGCTCTGTTAAGAGAATGAAAGGATGAGCCACAGACTGGGAGAAGATATTTGCAGATCACTTTCCTGATAAGGGACTTGTGTCCAGAATATACAAAGAACTCTTAAAACTCAGTAATCAAAAACAAGCAACTCAATTAAAAAATAGGCAAAAGTTCTGAACAGTCAGTTCTCCAAAAAGGATATACAGATCGTAAATAAGCGTATGAGGATTATCAACATCATTTGTCATTAGAGAAATGCCACAACAATGAGATGTGACAAAAACTTATTAGAATGACTAAAATTAAAAAAAAAAGATTATACCAGTTTCTGATGAGGATGCAGAACAATCGGAACTCTCATTCGTTGCTGGTGGAGATGCAAAATGGTGCAGCCACTTTGGAAGACGGCGTGGCAGTTTCTGGTAATGCTAAACATAGTCTTGTCATATGATCCAGCAATCAGGCTTCTGAGGATTTTTCAACTGATTTGAACAATTACATTCACAAAAAAAGCTGCCCACAAATATCTCTAGCAGCCTTATTCATAATCGCCCAAAACTGGAAGCAATCAAGCTGTCCTTCAACAGGTGAATGGATAAACCAACTGGTAATTTATACGGTGGAATATTATTCAGTGATAAAAGGAATGAGCTATTGAGCCATGCAAAGGCCTGCATGAATCTTAGATGAATATTGATCAGTCAAAGAAGCCAGTCTTAAAAGGCTATATGTTGTATGATTCAATTTACGTGACAGTCTGAAGGAGGCAAAAGTGTAGAGATGATAAACAGATAGGTGTCAGCAGTAACCAGATTCTCATGTGCTGGGAGGTTGAATGGGTGAATCACAAGGGATTTTTAGGGCAGTGAAACTATTCTGTACACTTTAACGGTGGGTACATGACACTGGACACTTGTTAATAGAACTTTACAGCACAAAGAGTGAAACTTAATATATGAAACTTAAAAAATCATATAGGAGTTTGGAGGATCCCAAGTGGGATCCAAACTGAGAAAGATAACTTTCACAAATGTAAGAAGTAACTCACTAAGGGGTAGGGGAATAAGGTGCTGACCTAAGTAACTTTGGAAATGAATAGAGACTGTAGGACTAAAGGTGGAAGGACCTGTCCACAGCACTGGCTTCTGGTTGGTAAAGTTGCTCCTGAAGGTGGTATAAGGTAACAACTCAGAAACAACTCCATGTATGCTGTCACTGAACAATTAAGTAAATGGATGGTGGATGGCGGAGCAGATTTCTCACTATGGGAGAGGGAGCTTACAGAGAAGTAAGGAAGTAAGGCTGTAATGAACTAAGTGGTATTAGACGAAAGTCTGAGACATCAGTGTGAACTCATTTTTAGCTAATGCAGATACAGATGGCACATGTAGAAATGATTATAGATATGTGCATACACGCAGGTTAGCAGACATACATATATTTCATTGCTTTGTGTGCTGAGAGGGCCTAGAAGCAAGGACACCGCAGTAGCAATGAGCACAACCTGTGCTCACCTCTTGGTTTCTAATCCCATTCTTTGATAAAAGGAACCAGGGCTCCTTGGAGGGTTGGCTGATTCCATGCCTGGGCAGAGGCTGTACAAGGTGAGCCTGGTGTACCTGGTGGTGCCAGAAAAGGAAGTGTCTGAAAAAACGTGATGATGCCGCAGGGACAGGGGAACCACATGAAGGAGCTCCTGATGGCCAAAGCTGGGCAGTTATAGCAACAAAATTCATGAAGTAGTATTAGATTACAACCCAAAGAATAAAATAAATCCACAAGTCTGTTATGCATAAATAACTGAATAAATAAATAAATGGGGAGAATAGACAAATCTCTTGTGCAGAAGAATTCAATGAATTCATGCAGATACTCTCTGCCCTCCAGGAGGTGGAGCATAACTCCCATAAATGTGGCCTGTGCACAACAACTTCCTCCCCAAATGCCCAGCTTGGAAGGAGAAAAAGAGGGGCTTCCCAGTGGAGGATCCTGAGAGACGTGATCTCAGCCAGGGCACCAATGTGAGCACCATAAGTAATAAGTCATGAAGTGGTACGTGCCCTTGATATGAGGGGATGAGAGAGGCACTCTACTCTGTGGTTTTCCTCCCCCAAACCCATAACCCTGGTGTAATCATGAAAAACATCAGACCAACCCCAATTTATGGAAATTGTACAAAACGCCTGACCAATACTTCTCAAAACTGTAAAGGTTATCCAAAACAAGCAGAAGTCTGAGAGGCTGTTACAGCCAAGAGGAGTCTAAGGACACATGACAACTAAATGTCATGTAGTGTCCTGGGTGAGACATGGATCAGAGAAAGGACAGCAGAGGAAGACTAAGGAAGCCCAAATGAAATGTGGGCTTTAGCTAATAATAATGTGTTGATATTGATTCACTAGCTGAACCATACAAAGATAAGATGTGGAAGATAATACATACTATATATAACATTGTGTATAGTACAGCCATGTGTGGCTTAATGACAGGGATACGTTCTAAGAAATGCATTGTTACGTGATTTTGTTGTTGTGTGAACATCATAGAGTGTGCTTATACAAACCTAGATGGTCTAGCCTAGTATACACCTAGGCTATATGGTACTCATCTTATGGGACCACCAATGTATATGCGATCCGAGGTTGACTGAAACATCGTTATGAGGTGCATGACTGTATAATAACATAATATAGTAGTGGAAACTGGGTGTAAGGTACATGAGAACTCTGTACCATCTTCACAACTTTTTGTAAATGTAATAGTATTCTAAAGTAAAAGTTTATTTTAAAAATATTTCCTTTTGGGGCCGGCCCGGTGGCACAAGTGGTTAAGTGAGCGCGCTCCGCTGCGGCAGCCCCGGGCTACGCCGGTTCGGATCCCGGGCGTGCACCGACGCACCGTTTGGCAAGCCATGCTGTGGCCGCGTCCCATTTAAAGTGGAGAAAGATGGGCACGGATGTTAGCCGAGGGCCAGTCTTCCTCAGCAAAAAAAGAGGAGGATTGGCAGATGTTAGCACCGGGCTGATCTCACAAAAAAAAAAAAAAAAAATTCCTTTAGTAATAAATGTCCCCCAAAACATAAACTACAAAGATCATTAAATTAATCAAATCATTAATACTCATCATTCAATGTTAATATTCCGTGTTTTACTAGACAGAAAGAAGTATACATACTTGATTATGAAACCAAAATCCTATTACATATTTTCTCTTTTAACTTACTATTTTTACTTAATAAATTGAAATCAAATTGCTTTTTGCAAACTCCAAAAGACCGAGTGATTTCCCGATTATGGAGGAATTTTATAGTCTTGCCTTATAAGTGAAAATGATGTGTCCCTTAGGATTATTTTTATTGGTGGGAATTAAGGTAGTAGCAATTTTAAAAGGTTTAAAAGCGATGTAAATTAATAAGAGCTTTCTCTTTGTGATTATTTATAGTCTCCTATTTGTATTGTGTGTGTGAGGAAATGTTCTCTCAGTTAAAAACTCAGCCAGGGCATTTGGGTATAATTTAACATCTGGATAAAAGTATATTTATCCTGATATCTCTGGGGAATGTTAATACTATACCACTTAATAACTTTGGGTACTGTCTCTTTACATTTTTTGTGTTCAAAATCAGAAAAAACACACAAAGTGATTTAGCCAGTTGATTTTTAATTCCTTCGATTCCTTTTAAGATATTAAGCAATTCTAGATTTACTCCACTCTGTTTGATAAACATTGGGGGTATTTAAAACTAAAGGACTTTTGTTTGTTTTATGAATGAGTTTTAAAAATAAATATGAATATAAAAGATGAAAAAGTCAAAGCTGAAGAGCAAATTGGTTCTTTAAAATATTGATTTTATGCACATTTTATTTCTAATTTAAATACCAAGCATGATGGTGGTATTTTTTTGCTTCTTAACTAGAAAATTAAAACTCAAAACAAAAGCTTAGCACTTTGAAGATAAGTGCCTGCCGTGCTGCACTGTGACAAGAAGACCTCAACAATCTCTTTTTAGAAACAGCTGTCATCTTTCTCCTGGTTATTTCTCATTCCGCTATGGTTTCCTGAAAATGCCCTGAGGTTCTCTAATTCATGGAAAAAGAGCTCTTGTACTGTCTTTTCTTTAACTTGCTCGATTCCTTGTTTTTTCTTCTTTATCATCTGCTTTTGCCCTCTCTAGATTTTGTCTTTTTAAATCCTCGATTCCTCTCTGAGTTTTCTTCTCCTTCAACCTCAGAGTGAGAGGATTTTCCTCAGGAGCTCTTGGCTTGGCTGATGCCTCATGGAAGATCACTTGTCAGGGTCTTCTTCGTTTTGTCTCCACTGTATCTTCATTTTGTCTCCACTGTATTCTAGAAGAGCATCTTCAGGAACAGGTTATGTAGCCACTCTGGTTTCAAGAGATGACGTCTTCAAATATGTAAATAGGTTGACTTGGATTTTCTCCACGTATTTTGAGATCTTTATGGTAATGCTTACTGAGTACTGATGTGTGCTTCTCCTGTTCTAGGTGCTCTGCCTGAATTAACTCATCTCATCCTCACAGCAACCCTGGGTTAGACACTGCTTTTATCCCATGTTAGAGACATGGAAATGGATGCAGATGGGTACCCCAGTTGGGACCCTCATAGACAGAGGTCTCTGCACTTGCGTATGTATAACACTTTTTAAAAAGCTGATCATAGTGTATCTGCCTCCTCCACACATAGATACTGGAAAGTTAAACATGTTCACAGCTATCACATATTAAAAAAAATACACCTTTACAATACATTAAAATACATACACCATGACCAAGTGGGATTTATTCCAGGGACACAAGGCTGGTTCGACATCTGCAAATCAGTCAACGTGACACATCACATTAACAAAATGAAGGATAAAATCATATGATAATCTCAATAGATGCAGAAAAAGCATTTGACAAAATTCAACATCTATTCATGATGAAAACTGTCAACAAAGTGAGTAGAGAGGGAACGTAACATAATAAAAGCCCTTTGTGACAAGCCCACAGCTAGTATCATGCTCAATGGTGAAAAGGTGAAAGCTCTTCCTCAAAGGTCAGGACCAGGCAAGGATGTGCTCGCTCACCACTCCTATCCAACACAGCGCTGGAAGCCCTAGCCAGAGCAGTGAGGCAAGAAAAAGAAGGAAAAGGCATCCAAATTGGAAAGAAAGGAGTAAAACTGTCTCTAACAGTTTCACAGATAACATGACATTACATATAGAAAACCCTAAGAATTCTACCAAAAAACTGTTAGGACTAATAAATGAATTCAGTAAAGTTGCAGGATACAAAATCAATATACGGAAATCTGTTGCATTTCTATACACTAATAATGAACTAGCAGAAAGAGAAATTAAGATAATCTCATTTACAACTGCATCAAAAAGAATAAAATGCCTAGTAATAAAAAATGGTTCACCTTTGTTTGTGATAGTGGCACACCAGATCTTTCACCAAAACACTACCATATCATACTATTCTCACCACCCTTGTCCGTGTCAGCCACTGATTTGTGTTCCTGTCATTCTCCACCCACTGTACAGGGCACCATCTCTCATTGGAAAGGTGACATCCTATTTGCCCTTTGCCTACATCAATATCCCTAAGTCTACTCCACAGAAAAATAAGCATTGTGCTAGCGTTTTTAATTTGAGGGAGGGGATTCTTCCTCTCAAAATTGTAATGATATGCTTCTAAGAGGGTGGGGCCAACACTCATTGGTTTTTTCCTCTTTCCCATCCCATTTCTTGGGCTCAGATGTGGATGCTGTCATGGAAGTACACTGCAGAACAGGACACTAATGTCCTCGATTTATGGCCAGAGGAAACACATGAGACCTCAAGGAAATGGAAAGTACTGGTAAGGTCCTGCAGAAGGAGGAGCTCAGGAAAGTGACCCCACATGTTGTTTATGAGCTTCTGAGCTATTCCCTAAGCTGCACGTGTGTGGATCTAGTCCTAGTCAGCAAACCAAAGATTTTGATAACTGCCCTGACAGATGGTGCCCATGTCTCAGATTGGCCCCTGGGTGATGCACAAGGGGGGCAGATCCAAAGGGAACTGCAGAGGCTGTGAAAACAGAATTTTGATCAGGAGCATAACCAACAGAAGGGCTGGAACTTGTCACCCGAACCTACTGTCCGCTAAAACAAAAAATGAACATTCTCCATAGAATTTAAACAAGACCTAGAGTTACATAACTTAGTATTCAAAAGCATACAGTTTACAATCCAGTATGACTCACATACAAAGAACCAAGACAATCTCAACTACATGGAAAAACTGATCAACAGAAGCTGATGCTGAGGTGATAGAAATGTACGAATTGTCTGATGTACTGGTTTCTTATTGCTGCTGCAACAAATTACCACAAACCTAGTGGATTAAAACAATGCAAATATATTATCTTGCAATTCTTGGGGAGCGGTGGTGTCAAAGTCCAAAATAAGCTTCAGTGGGCTAAAATCAAGGTATTGGCAGGGCTGCATTCATTCTGGAGGCTCAGGGCGAATCCACTTCCTTGACTTTTCCAGCTTCTGTGGGCTGCTTGCATACTTTGGCTTGTGGTTCTGCATTGCTACAACCTCTGCTTCCATCATCACATCTTGTTCTCTCACTCGGACACTCCTGTCTCTGTCTTATAAAGACCCTTGTGATTATGTTGGGTTTACTCAAACAATCCAAAGTAATCTCCTCATTTCAAGATTCTTAATCACATCTGCAAAGACTCTTTTGCCTTGTAAGGTAACATATTCATAGGTTCTGGGATTAGGACATGGACATCTTTGGAGGGCCATTATTATACCTACTGTATCTGACAAAGACTTTAATGCAGCTATCATACAAATATTTCAAAAAGCAATTGCAACCATTCTTGAAACCAATGGCAAAATAAAATTGTCACTATATGCAATTTTTAGAACTAAAAATCACAATAATAGAAATAAAAACCTCACTGGATCAGCTCATTAGCAAAAGGGAGATAAAGGAGGAAATAATCAGTGATCTTGAATATCAATAGAAATTACCCAATCTGAACTACAGAGAGAAAGTAAGTTGAGAAATGAATGTAAACAGAATCTCAGAGACCTGTGGAACAACAATGAAATGTCTATCATTCATGTCATGAGAGTCCCAGAAGAAGAGGAAGAATGTGATGCTGAAAAATATTTGATGACATAATGGCCAATAACTTCTCATTCTTGGCAAAAGACATAAGCCTACGGATTCAAGAATCTGAACAAACCCCAAATAAGATACCCACCACCCCTCAAATACCATGCTCAGACATATTGTAATCAAACTACTGAAAACTAAAGATAAAGAAGGGATCTCGAAAGCAGTCAGAGGAAAACAGTGCATTGCCTACAGTGAAACAACTATTAGAATGACAGATTTCTCATCAAAAGTCATCCAAGTCAGAATAAAGGGGCACACCACTTTTAAATTCCTGAAAGAAAAGAATTGTCAACACAGAATTCTGTAGCTGTCAAAAAAATCCTTTAGGAATGAGAATGAAATAAAGTTTTTCACAGGAGAAGTAAAACTTAGAGAATTCATTGCCAGCAGATCTTCTCTAAAAGGATTATTGGAAGAAATTCTTCAGACGGAAGGGAAATTATTCCATAAAGAAACTTAGTACATCAGGAATGAAGGGGTGTAACAGAAATGTTAAATATCTAGATAAATGTAATAGACTATATTTCTACTCTTGAGTTTTTAAAAACATAGTCGAGTGTTTAAAACAAAAAAAAAATACCATTGTCTAATGGTGTTTTCAATTAATGTAGATATAATTTATAAGATAAATATAGCATAAAAAGGGGAGGGCAGAAGGAACTATGGTGGTAAGGTTTATACTTTCCAACTGAGAGGATAAAAATTGATTTTAAATATAGCAATCACTAAAAATATTATACAAACAAGTAAGTAAAAAAATCACAATAGGTAAATTAAAATGGAATATAAATGTTGTTTAACAAAGTGAAAGTAGGCAGGAAAGGAGAAACAGAGGAACAAAAGTCAGAAAGAACAAAAAGCAAACAAATAATCAAATGGTAGACCTACCTAAAACCAAACATATCATTAATTACATTAAATGTAAATGGTCTAAACACACCAATTAAAAGACATAAATTGTGAGAATAGATAAAAAGTGGGACCCAACTATACGCTGTCCATAAGAATCTCACTTTAAACATAATGACATGGGCAAATTAAAATTAAAAGGATGGGAAAAGGAGAATTTAACATCACTCTCAGTCTATGACAGGTCATATGGACAAAAAGTTTGTCATATAGATGGTACAATCAGCGTGAGTAGATATTACGGGTATAAATCACACTCAAGATTGTGTAATTCATATTGGATTTACATAAACCAAAGATTGTACTGTCTCCCATAAGATACATATTTTATTCAAATACTCACGTAACATTCACAGAAATTGACCAGTCTAATAAAAGATCACCCAGTGAGTTATTTCAGACCCCGTCTTTCTCATCTCCAGAAGCTCCATCCGGTTCTTTTTAAATCTTCCTCCCCCTCCTTGTTACATTCATGTTTTCTTTAGTATCTGTTGTCAGCTTTGCTATGGGGAGCGTAAAGCAGGGGTTTTCTCTAATGAGCCGGGTAGTAAGTATTTCAGACTTTGTCGGTCATAAGGCCTCAGTCATAGCTATTCAACTCAGCCCTTATAGCCAAAATGGCCATGGGCAATATGCAAACTACTGGGCATGGCTGTGTTCCAATAAAGCTTTATTTATGGGCACTGAAATTTGAATTTAATACAATTTTCCTTGGTCATGAAATACTATTATACTTTTGACTTTTTTCAGCTATTTTAAAATTTAAGAACCATTCTGAGCTCAGAGGTGAACAAAACAGGTGGTGGGCCATGTTTGCCTCGTGGGTCAGAGTGTAGTCTGAATATCAGACAAGTCTAGAGCACCCTTCACTGTGGCCCCTCCCGGCCCCTCTGGAAGGCTCTTAGAGCCCCGTGCGTCTCCAGAGACTCTCTTCTCTGACTGGTCGTGGCGCAAACACTCCTGCCCTGTGTGGAGTCTGGGCGTCATTTTGTTTAAAATCACCTGGCTCTTCTTTCCCCAGCCTTGGGGAGTTCTGCCTGTTACAGGCCTAGCCTAGTACCTGGCAAAAACTCAAGGGGCCCACTGGGAGGGTTGGGGGTTCTTTTTCTGCATACTGCCTTTCTTTCTGAAACTCCCTCAACAGCCAACTGCCTCTTTTCTCCTTCCTCCTCGCCCCAGCAAGGCTGCCACGCTCTGCTAGGACCTCCTTCCCCTGGGCCCCGGGCCTGGCATTGCTCCCACGGGAAGCTGGAGTGACGTCCAGGCCACAGTCAGTGCTGACGGGAGGTGGGAAGTTAATCCAGGTCCCGTCAATGGATTGTGGCACACGTATGTCTGACATAAAATACCTTGGCAGATTTGTTCTGGTTAGTGCCTGCCTTGGGTTTTTCTTGGTGTTTGTTTTGGCTTTTTCAGTGTTGTTTTTCTTTACATATGTCTTCATAAGTTGCGAAACATTGAATTTTATTTGCATAATTCCATTGGACAGTCTCTGCTTTTTAATAGGCGAGTTCAATGCGTTTACATAGTCATGATTGCTCATGTTTGGACTCAGTTTATTTTTTTGTAGTATTTGCCACACTCTCTGCTTATTTCTTTATTCTTCCCTCCTGATGCCCACATTGATCACATTTATTTCATTCATCTGCCGCCACCCCCTCATTGGTTTGGAAGTTAACTTTCTAACTCTGTTTATTTTGTGTCCTCTTTAGTTTTTAGTACATGCAAGCAACGTAAAGTATGACATTAAAAGATGTCTCCGTCTTTCTTTTCTAGTCTCACTCGCCAAGTTCCTGTAATTTTGTGTGCTTCTGTCTCATCTATCATTTCTATGTGTTTGAGACAGGTAGGAAGATTTCCTGTGTCCACTTAGTTCTTTGTGTTGACCGTAATCTGTTTTTCTGTATCTTGACTGAATCTCCACCTCTCATTTCATGACTGACTGCAGAGAAAGTTTACTTTCTGTCAGTCCCAGAGTTTATCTTCCACCACCCTGCTATTCCTCCTTCGTCTACATCTCAGCCTGGGGCACACACACAGTGTTTCATCGAGTGTGGTGGGGGGCACCCGACCCCTGACAAGTACCTGCTCACCCCTCATGCCTGACCCCAGTTCAGGGTTGGTGTGGTTCTTGCTCTGGCACCTTGTGGTCACCATCTTCAGACTCATCAGTGCTCCTCCTCCCTCAGCCAGCTCCCCAGCACTTGTGGAGGGCACAGGAAACTCCCGCTTCTTCCGCGTGGACTCAGAGCCCAGAGACAGCCTTGTGTGCTGCTCTGTCTGAGCAGACGTGCCCAGTGGCTGTGTTTGTGCTCCTGCTCCCTGTTCTGCCTCAGGGTCTGTGTGTCTCTGTGGGATGAATCTGTTGTCTGTCCACTTTCTGAAGCCCAGGTCCTGATCTTCTCTCAGAATCCCAGAGCTGCCTGAGGCCTCTCTCTATCTGCTCCCAGGGCCAGACCTGATGGTGTGTAGCTGAGACCCTCGCAGGAGCTACCAGGAGCATCCAAGTCTCTGCTTCTCTCTGGACCACCTCTCTTCCCACCCCAGAGAGGACCGTTAGGGTGCGGGTGTGTCTGGGAGCTCAGGCCCGCTCTGGGAAGGGTGAGCAGTAAGGGCAAGCGTGCCCCATAACTATGGTGTCTGTGAGCCCAGGAGCCTGTACACAAATCCTGTATCTGGTGTGCATCTGCCTGTCTGTGGCCTCCCTTTCCTGGGGCAATGGGGATGGTGTGTAGACAGGGGGAGCTGAGGACACAACAGCACATGGTGGGCACATGTGCACACATCCAGGTGCATTGGGACCACGATGTCCTGGACTGTGAGTCACATCTTGAAATTGAGGGGTGCTTAAATCAAGAGTGAGGCTTGGCTTTCCAAACAACAAATAGAATTAGAGAAGTGTCCCTTGTTAGTTTTCATTTATGCTGTATCTGAGAGGATGTGAGTAGAAGTGATGAGGGCACTTCCCTTCTGTCCCTCACTGCCTCTGACCCCTCCCCGTGGGCTGTTGGGGAGTCGTTTTCATCATTCAGATGGAGGTGGGCAGAGGACACGTCAGGAGGGGTCTGGATTCACAATGACCTCCGTCCCGGCTTGTGTGAGAACTGAGAAGGTACGGACATGTGTAGCGTGGGAGCTGTCTGTTGGTCTCAGTGAAAGAGGCAGGTGCAGAATTTGTGCCTGGAAGTGAGTGGGCTTTAACAAAGTCTGTAATGTGTGGCACTGGCTTAGTGGTTAGGCAGGATTTGGGAAGCCTGAATGGTGAACTGTCAGACAGAAAGACAAATACTGCATAATCTCATTTGTTTGTGGAATCAAAAAACATCAAATTCGTAGAAACAGAGAGTAGACTCGCGGTTACCTGGGGCCTAGAGGTGGTGGAAACAGGGAGATGTTCGTCAAAGGGTTCAAGATGAATAAGACGAATAAGTTCTGGGGATGCAATATACAGCGTGGTGACTGTGGTTAACAATATGCATTATATACTTATAAATTGCTAAGAGCAGATCTTAAAAGTTCTCACCACAAAAAATTCTTTTTAACTAATTTTAAAAAGATGTGAGGTGATGGCTGTGTTAACTAATCTTATTGTGATGATCATTTCACAGTATATACGTGTATCAAATCATCAGGTTGTATGCCTAAAACTTACACAATGTTGTATGTCAGTTATATCTCAACAAAGCTGGATGAAAGAATGAATGACTGAATGGCCTGTGCTTTCTCAAGCCCCAAAGAACGCCAAGTGTTTGTTACATAAAAATGGGGATGGGACAGAGCAGGACAACTTCATAGGTGTTTTTGAAGTGGAGCCAGTACATCAGATGGGTTTATAAACCACGACTCTCAGATGTTGGAGCATCTATTCAAGCTCTTGCTGAGAAACCAGGGCTCAGCTTGTTCTCTCTGAGGTCCCTCAGCATGCTAGAGGCAAGGGTTGGTGCTGCCCGCGCCTTCTCTCATTTGTCTGTGGGGTCGAGCTGCCTGGTGGGGCTGCCTCAGCTGCCGATTCGCCCCATGTTTATGCAGATAAAGAAAGCCTAGACCACAAATGCCTGGAGATGAGTGTATCGTGCATCGTGCCAGGCCCTGCCCCTGGCGGCGGTGAGCAGGACCCCTGCCCGCTGCGCCCCTGCCTCGTGATGCAGCCTGGCCCTCGGAGGGGGAGCAGCTGCTCCTGCGGCCACGGGGGAGCTTTCTGCACAGCACTTCCTTGGGAAAGTGATTCTATTTTCAAATGCTGGCATGGAACTCTTCCTGATGGCAGTGCTCCTAATTAGTCTGAGAAAACAAATAGCTCTTCCGTCCGGGGGAAATATTTGAGTGGCAGCTAGTTATCACCCTGCAGTGTCAGCGGCTGAGCTGGCCTGGGCACTTGTGTCCTGCTAATCACCCAGGCTAGAGCCTCCCAGACCTCCTCTGTACCTGTTGACTCTGGCACCTGCTTTTGCTCACAGGCACCCTCACCACACCTGCATCCACTCAGACCCTATTCTTTCTCCCCCGAAGGATTGTGTGATGGGTAATTTTATGTGGCAACTTGGCTAGGCCGTGGTGCCCAGACATCTGGTCAAACACCAGTCTAGATGTCATCTTGAAGGTATTGCTTAGATGAGATGAACACTTCAATCAGTAGACTTTGAGTAAGGCAGATCACCCGCCCTAATGTAGGTGGGCCTCATCCAATCAGTTGGAGGCCTTAAGGGAGAAGACTGAGGTCCTTCAAGAAGGAGGGAATTCTGCCTCCAGACTCGAGACTGCAGCATCGTGTCTTCCCTGGGTCTCCAGCCTGCCACCTGCCCTGCAGATTTCAGACTTGCCAGCCCCCACAATAGCGTGAGCCAATTCCTTAAAATAAATCTCTCTCTCTCTCTCCATATGTATATATGATGTACAAACCTATAGGTTGTGCGTGTATACACACACACACACACACACACACATATCTTTGTTGTTGTTCAGGAGTGTATTTAATTCTCATGTATCTGTAAATTTTCTAGTTTTCCTCCTTTTATTTATTTCTAGTTTCATAACATGTGGTTGGAAAAGATACTTGGTATGATTTAAATCTTAAATTTGTTAAGACTTCTTTTGTGACCTAACATATGATCTGTCCTGGAGAATGTTCCATTTGTGCTTGAGAAGAACGTGCATTCCGCTGCTGTGGGATGAATGTTCTGTATGTGTCTGTTGGGTCCATTTATTCTAGGGTATGGTTTAAGTCCAACATTTTCTTATTGATTTTCTGTCCGGGTGATCTATCCATTGTTGAAAGTAGGTATGGAAGTCCTATTACTATTGTATTGTTGTCTATTTCCCCCTTAGATCTGTTAGTATGTGCTCGATTTATTTAGGTGCTCTGATGTTGGGTGCATATATATTTACGATTGTTGTCTCCTCTTGACAAATTGATCTCTTTATGATGATATAATGACCTTCTTTGTCTCTTTTACCATTTTTGGCTAAAAGTCTATTTTGTGTGATGTAAGTATAGCTACCCCCGCTCTCTTTTGGTTTCCATTTGTGTGGAATATCTTTTTCCATCCCTTCGTGTTGAGCCTATGTGTGTCTTTGAAGCTGAAGTGAGTCGCCTATGGGCAGGGCCCCTTGTTTGGTGTGTGGCAAAGGTGAAGAGGGCTGTCTGGGATGACAGGGGGTGGCTTTGCTGGGCTGTGGGTGAGTTTGATGCACCTAATGCCTCACTCACTGTCCCTGGAAGCCCCAGGGCCTGGAAGATGGATCTGGTTGGGGAAGAGCCCTCTCTATGTGCACACTAGCCCGTCTGCCCTTCCTGTTCTTGGTCCAACCCCTTACCCACCCCAAGAGAGAGGCGTTACTGTCCAACTGGCCAGATCTGAGCTCCTGATAAGGTCACGGTTGATTCTTTCTATGTCATCAAAGCGTAAAAGCCGATGCTTTTGTGAGCTCTCTCTCCATCTCTTCTGCATCTTATACTCCTTCATCTTGGATTCCGGAGGGAGACAGCAGACCCTCTGGCCCAGTTACTTTTATTTTTGCCTGTCCATCATCTCTTTGGGGGACCGTCCCTCCCCCATCCCCAGTACGTGGTCCATTTGCCTGTCTCCGGCCTGGGTCGGGCACATGACTTGGGCCTGGCCAGTGCTGCATTCCTCGGCCACAGTGATTGGCTTAGGGGCCACACGACCCAAACCAGCCACATCACAGCCAACCCCAGGTTGCTGCTGAAAGTACCAGAAGAAAGTGCTCCTCTCTCTTTCAGAGGTGGCTGGAGCTGAGGACCAAGGAAGCCAGAGACTGCAGGAGCTGTCTTTGTCAGCAGCTGGAGAGAGTATCTTGAGGGTGAGGGCCAGAGCAGGGAGCGGAAGAAGGAGGGGGAGGGGGCAGAGGAGAGGGAGAGGCAAAGGAAGAGAGTATAAAGCCAGTACTTCCCACTGTCACTTTTTCACTCTTGTTTGCTTTTTCTTAAGCTGGTTCAAGTCCAGAGTAAAGCGGCCCTGTGCCCCCTCCATCTTTCCCAGTAAGGCCTCTACCTGGAGCACTGCCTGGCCTGTGCTTCTGGTTCTGCTGTGTTCTGGGATGGGTGGATTTCTGCTGGGGACCAGGCTTAGAGCAGGGATATGAGTGGTGGAGCCAAGCATTCTGGTTGGATCCCTGCTTTAAGACCCTCTAATATTGTCAAAACTCGCCCTGGCCCCCAGCAAATCTCACTGACCTTCCCCAGGATCCACAGGAGTACCCCCATTCCCACCTCCACAGGAAGATCAGTGAGGCCCCCTTTGGCACGGGGTCTGCCTGGTCAAGGCCCTGCTCTGAGCCCTGCTCCCCGTGGCCTCCAGCCTGGGGACCTGCACTCCAGGTGAAGGGGGCAGGATCACACCTGTGAGACAGAGAGGGACACCCAAGCTCTCTCTCTTGTCCCAGCTCTTCTGTCAACTTCCCTCGGGGTCAGGAGCTGGCGACCTACTCTGCCTCCTTTCTCTACCCTGGGTGCCACAGATACACAGCCTCGGAGCCTCTTCCAGTTGTAACATCTCATCATTTGTCTTCTGGTCCATCTGGGCATAGAAAGGTCACATTTGGCCTTCAGAGGTTCCTGGGCTGAGGGGCTGAGGTGCAGCCCCCGAAAAGTTGAGGGACCCCAGGGGACCTGTCAGGGGCTGTGGGGAAATGGTCTCCTGGGTATAACTGGGACAAGGGCAGGAGCCCCTCGCCCATGGTGACCAACCCATGAGCTTCTGCTGGGCCTGGAGCCAAGGGACAGGAGTGTGGGGATAAGCATCAATCCCAGGCCTCACGCCAGCAAACCTTGGGCATGAGACCCACTGGAGGCCAGGGCGCGAGAGGGCCAGTGAGGGTGCTGCCGGCCCTCTGTCGAAGGCTCTCCCAGGGGCTCTTCCCTGCTCGTCTCTTGTATAAATCCACCGTTCCATCAGCGCTCAGAAGTTTAAACTGAGGCATTTTGCCGAGTAGCTTCAGTCTACAAGCACTATTTCAATTTTCTTCAAGTAAAAAAGAATGAGCTGAACTGTGGGGCCTGCTTCTGTGCCTTTGTTAGGTGGCTCCCACCCTGCTGTGCGTCAGATGCCAAGAGACTGCGTCTGCCCTGATGCAGGGTTGGTTCATGGACCCTGCACAGCTCTCGCAGGATGCATCCCATCTCCTTTGCCTGCATTGCTGGGCAGGGCTGGTCCTCCTGGGGACCGTGCCCGCCACCCATGGGGTCAACCTGGTGATGAAAATGCCTGGTCCTCATTCACCTCCTCCTCACCCTCCCTGCCTGAGCCTCTGTGCTCTCTCTCCTTGGGCTTCTGCCTCCTCTCCCCAACCTGTGATGGACTGACCCCTCTGTGGTGGGCGGAGATGAGGGGAAGGAGGAAGAGGGTAGGAAAGCCGTCCCCTGGAGTCCCCTGCCCTGCGTGTGCTCGAGGCTGGGCAACCTGCCGCCCTCAGCAGAGGAGGCACCCCCTCTGCCACTGCAGGGTGCTTCCCTCCTCAGCCCCTGCACCCAGAGGCTCATCGCAGTGGGGTACTGTTGCCCCTCCAGGCTGCCCCTCAGGGCAGGATCCACAGCGGCCCTACTCCAGTTTTCTCTGGCATGAGGCCGGCGTCCAGCTCACATATACAAACTCTGGGATGTGGAAATCCTCCTCCACCGCGTCCACAGCCGTATGTTTTGCCAACATCCTCTGTAATGTGGCAGTATTCCTTACACAATTCTCCTGTGCTTCACCTTTGCTATTTATTTAAGCAACAGAAATTTATTCTCTCACTGTTCTGGAGGCTGGAAGGCCAAGATCGAGGTGTTGGCAGGGTTGGCTTCTCGAGGCATCTCTCCTGGGCTGTGGACAGGTGCCCTTTTGCTGGCTCCTCACGTAGTTGTCCATCTGTGCATGCACACCCATGGTTTCTCTTCTTTTTCTTCTTCTTTTTTTGAGGTCACATTGACTTATAACGTTACATAAATCTCAGGTGTACATCATTATATTTTGACTTCTGTATAGACTACACCATATTAACCACCAAAAGTCTAGTTGCCATCCGCCACCATACACATGAGCCCTTTACTCCTTTCACCCTCCCGCCCTTCCCCTTTGGTAACCACCAGCCTGGTCTCCATATCTATGTTGTTGTTGTTTTTATCTTCCACATATGAATGAAATCATATGGTGTTTGGCTTTCTCTGTCTGACTTATTTCACTTAGCATAATACCCTCAAGGTCCATCCATGTTGCTGCAAATGGCAAGATTTCATCTTTTTTTATGGCTGAGTAGTATTCCATTGTATATATATACCACATCTTTATCCAACCATCTGTTGATGGACACTTAGGTTGTTTCCACATCTCGGCTATTGTGAATAATGCTGCAATGAACATAAGGTTGTACATATCTTTTCGAATTAGTGTTTTCTGTGTTCACCTTTGTTATTTAAAAGCCTGCATTTAATTTTGTTTTGGGTTATGAAAGTCAAAATTGCAGCAGCCTGTGAAGTTACTATGATGTATAGGATCCATATAAGGAGACTTGAGGTCAACACTGAGGACACGTGAGGGCTTCCTGTGCTAGTATCAAGAGCCTCCTCGCACATATTGGAAAAGCGCCATGTTTAGGAACTTCTATTGTATTTGACATTTTTTCTAGTGCTGTATTGTTTACACTTCAGTATTTTTTTATTATTTATTTATTTTTTATTGAGGTAACATTGGTTTATAACATTATATAAATTTCAGGTGTACATCATGATATTTCAGTTTCTGTGTAGACTATATCACATTCACCACCCAAAGACTAATTACCATCCATCACCATACACATGTGCCCTGTCACTTCTTTTGCCCTCCTCCCTCCCCTTTCCCCTCTGGTAGCCACCAATCTTATCTCTGTCTCTCTGTGTTTGTTTGTTGTTGTTTTTATCTTCTACTTATGAATGAGATCATATGATATTTGACTTTCTCTGTCTGACCTATTTCACTTAGCATAATACCCTCAAGGTCCATCCATGTTGTCGCAAGTGGCAAGATTTCATCTTTTTTCATAGCTGAGTAGTACTCCATTGTGAATATATACCACATCTTCTTTATCCATTCATCCCTTTATGGGCACTTAGGTTGTTTTCAAGTCTTGGCTGTTGTGAATAAGGCTGCAATGAACATAGGGGTGCATGTATCTATACACATTCCTGTTTTTGTCTTCTTTGGATGAATACTCAGCGGTGGAAGAGCTGGATCATATAGTAGTTCTATTCTTAATTTTTTGAGGAATCTCACTACTGTTTCGCTTAGTGGCTGCACCAGTTTACATTCCCACCAGCAGTGTATGAGAGTTCCCTTTTCCCCACATCTTCTCCAATACTCGTTATTTCTTGTCTTCTTAATGATAGCCATTCTGATGGAGATGAAGCGATATCTCACTGTAGTTTTGATTTGCATTTCCCTAGTAATTACTGATGTTGAACATCTTTTCATGTGTCTGTTGGCCATCTGTATATCTTCTTTGGAGAAATGTCTGTTCAGGTCTTTTGCCCATTTTTTAACTGGGTTTTTTGTTTCTTTGTTGTTGAGACATACGAGTTCTTTATATATTTTGGGTATTAACCTCTTATCAGATATATGGTTTGCAAATATCTTCTCCCAATTGTTAGGTTGTCTTTTCGTTTTGTTGATGGTTTCCTTTGCTGTGCAGAAGCTTTTTAGTTTGATG